GATATGACATCATCATGTCCTAATACGATACGATACGATACGATACGATATTCTTTATTGTCATTTGAACAACAGGGTACAAATGAAATTCAAGTGATTGATCAAGGTACAATTTCAGAGAGGAATAAAGAAAAAGTAAACTAACAAAGAACTCCAAAGAGACATATTCAAATAACTTAAATCTAATGAATCATATTGAATTTATTGAATCTTAATGAATCTTATTGGTGGGTGTGGAGTCAGGATCGGGAAAGACATCACCATGACCCTCCGGCTACAGGAATAGGGGACAGCGCTGCCCTGAATCTGCAAAAACAGCCAGAAACTAAAAAATAGCCTGGTAGTCACAGAGACAGAAAACAGCTGTCTGCCGTGATAGGATATCATCATGCCCATATAAGGGCAATTCACACAAATTTGTGAGGATATTGCTCAATGCACTTCCACTTCAACAAAGAACCAAAGAAAAAAAGGAAAAAAAGTGTCACTCATGCTTTGGGCAATACAGTACAATTTCTGTAATATTTGTTATTTGAATAAAGTTTTATCAATTCATTCATGCACTCCTTAATTATAGGACCTAGAGTTTATACCATGCCAGAGGGTTTACACTGTGCTGGTGAAGTCGCCTATGAAATTCTAAGTGTGTGTTCAGTTTTATGAATAGATTGTATAAGAGTGACAAAATAAATACATACAACAGTGTACTCTTCCACAATCCACTCTCTATTGTTGGTGGAAAATTTTGTTGACTGCATAACCTTTTAAAGTTTTCTTACAGACTTGTGTAATATAAAAATATTGTAGTGTATTATATGATTTTCTGAAATAAAAGTTCAAATTGAAATTACCCACAATCATTGATTTTTGGAAAAAAGAATATGGCACTCCAACTGAGGTTATTATATACACATCTATCTTTTATTAAAATTATAACATTATTTATTGAAAAGACGCAATATTGCTATGTTGAAATCAATTGTAATTAATCCTGTACATTGTAGGCCTACAAGTAATTTTAGTAGCTGTCATTATAGAGGGCAGCAGACTGATATTTACGAATATCATGTTTTTTATTCAATTCAATTCCAATAAATTTATTTCTCAAAAATAACAAAGTATTTAAGAATAATTGCAAATTATTTCTGAGAAATAATAATAATAATAATAATAATAATAATAATAATAATAATAATAATAATAATAATAATGATAATGGGGGTTGGGGGTTTAGAGCTTCACTGCGTTGATGTTGGTGAGGGTGGGAGTGGGGTCGTGGAGCTTCGGCTTTTGTTCATGTTAAATTTGAAAATTAAGGTCGGGTTCAGGATGGGTTGCGGGATGCAGTCTAAAAATTAGTGATGGGTTTTCATGTCTAATAATAATATAATATTTCAACGTATGATATCGTCTTCGAATGTTATGTGTTTTTCTCATAAAACAACATACAAAAGTGCTTCGTGTACTTGAGATTTTTTTTACAAATACACAGGCAGCATTAAGTCATAGGCCTACTTTATATAAAATATGTTTATTATTTTTAAAAACAAATGCAGTACGAAGATAACTGACAGGTCTAGTTTTGTTGTTTCGTAATTGCATTTAAAGCAGGCATTCGTTCAATTGGGTTCCAATATTTTACAGAGAAGTAGTGTCTATGACGAAATCATAATATGATGATGATACAGTATTTTGATGTAATATTATATAAAATCTTTTATTATTAAACCACTTGAAACATTATACGATATCGTACTATCGATGTTAGCTGTTGTTACTATTGTTATCATCATCGCCGCCGCCACCACCACGATACAAAGTCATGTGCATATGCGATCCCCCACCTCTCTGATATAGACCCCTTCCGCATCACAGAGGAATATACCCACTGTAACATGAATACAGCAATAAAATAAAACTGAAATTAACAATAAATCCAGGGCCGGATTTGGGGCCGGTGCCACCCTTCCCCCTTCCCGAAAAGAAACAGTAAAAAATGTTCATTTACTATGGAAATCTGAAAACAGAAATGCAGGCCCTATTTTACGAGCTTGGGAAATCTGATATTGCACTGTTATTCAAATAAACGACTGTTGAATAAATTCCCAATCTAGAGCCTCATTTTGGATGAAACGCCACCCTTGAATTTCTCCCCACCCCCAGCTCCCGTAAATAAATGAACGGAAACAACATTAAGCTTCCAATGGGTCTTTTATTTTGAAGAAAACCAGCCCTCATTATAACTGTCATCTAAGGTGTTAATGCCATTAGCAGCCTGTGTTAGTTCACTTCTTGATAGAAAAAATAATCCAAACCATTTCAAAAATCCCAAGTATGAAAAGTTAAAAAAAATCTCAAGACCCCAAGGCAAGAGTGGATCCAGAGATGTCCGAAAGGTGGGGAAGAGCCGATAGTGGGTGTTGAGTTGCACAAATGAAGAATCTGATCATGCGTACAAGTTTACTAATTGATGAATACTATTATTATCTATTGTTTTAATAATAATAATATCAATTCTTTGATATCTCTCTTGATATATTGATACCCAGGAAATTATAATTGGAAACTATATAGAGGGCGTGCTACCATGTATCTGCCATCATCATCATCATCATCATCATCGTTACATCATCGTACGTTCGCGCAGTTGTTTGTCGTTGCGCAACCAGGAAGAGAAAAGAATGTCGGTCGGGGGACGTATCATCTCTATCTTCGTACAATCTGCTACGCAAGATTGTACTTAAAAAGGTGTTATTGTTAGAGAGAGAACGTGAGTGTTTGCATTAATTTTAGAGCCATGAATAATCTTTGCTGTTCCATATACAGTATTTGCAGTCTAGGCTAGGGCTAGGCAGAGTAGGCTCAGCTACCTAGGCCTAGGCCTTAGGCCTAGGGCTTAGGCGATTGGTTGGCCAGGATACCGCACTGTCTGTGTGGGCCTATGCCTAGCTAGTACTAGGGCCTAGCCTCGGTAGGAAAATTTGGCCTAGAAATACGTCCGCGGCTATGGGAAATTAAGGGGCGATTTCCGCGCAGATTTTCCCGAAAATTTAGCTTTATCGTGTATGTATATAAACAATGTATTAATATCAAAGAAGTACATGTAATATTAAGTAGATAAGATAGAGATCACTGGGATTGATAGCGAAAATGAGGCGGAAATTTGTCCAGACGTGCGCGTCTCCCTACTCTTCTTATAATGCAAATTTTCTTGGTCCAAACATACAGGGCGCCCTTCTGTTGCTAAGTATATCTAGGCGCACACGGCGCCCTTCTTTTTCCACTAATGGAGGAAAACGTTAATCACAGTACGGTCATATGATTCTGCGCTTTTGTGTCTGTCATTTTTATAGTTTTGATTTATTTATGCCTACTTGTTTGTGTCTTATGGATAATGGCAACAATTTCTACCTCTGCAAAAGGTTATGTATTCAGTTATGTAATGGTTGCAGAAGTTCTTTAGATCCAGCTGTACTTTGTATTCCCATGATGCATTTCGGTATAACAGTTTTTTTTCTGTGGAGAACTCTATCTTGTTGTGTTTGTACTAGTAGAATCTTGGGTATTATGCACTAATTTACGATTCTGTGCACTTATTTCTGCTGCAAAATTGAGCTGGTTTCTTGGAGTAGTACAGAACATCTGCAGCAGTGGCACGTTTGGAATTGGGGGTGCATTTACCAAAACGCACTGGCTATACGCACAGCGGCTGTGTATACAATGAAAGTGGTTTTGTTATATGCACAGTGACAAGCAACCAATTACAGCACAAGTTACTATTCTATGCTACTGTATACCACTCTCTTATACACATCT